ACCTCAGTACTCAGGTTAAATTGCCGTGTTGGCACTTTGCGATAAATCAGTGGGTTTTGGATCGCAGTTTGGGCACTCGGTCTCTAAAAGGTTCGCCATCACTGAGCTAGATGATGGAAGTAGATGCTGAGAGGCATCCTACTTCCCTATCTTGTGGGCATGGAAAAGAGAGACAGAGTGGGGAGACAGAAGAAAGTTGTTTTTGATCTACACTTCAAAGGGATTCTCAGTGACAATAAGCAGGAAGATGCTTAGTGTTTGCCTGTCTGCCTGCAACTCTGTGGTCACTTGCTTCTGGAGGCTGAGGCACTGGGACATCACATCTGGTACCTCCAACAGTTGTGAGGATCCTTTGAGGAAAAGCAAGGTTAAAAATTGTGATAGATATTTCAGGGGAGAGAGGGCACCCTGATGCACTTTAGGCTGATAGGGACAATATTTTTTGTCAGTACTGCCCTTGTGCCATTTTGGTAAGGCCAGATGTTGTTTGTGATTCAGAAAAAAAGTTTCCCTTTTGGTGCTGTTGTTTGGTCTGATGTTTGAGCTTCTTGGAAGAAGTGTGGGATGAAAAGGAAATAAAAGATGTTTGCATACCTCTTTTTATCTAGTGTGTATGTTTTACATGTGAAAAAGGAGTCAAAAATGTATCTGGCATCCCCGATATTTTCCATGTTATGTGGGTTGCCAGCATAATGCTGTTGAACATCATGACTGACTCCCAGGGCAGCCCGGCTGGTCAGAGAAGTTGTGTCTTTTGTTTTAATCTGCAAATCATGCTGTATTCTGTTAAAACTAGCTGCCGCTTGATTCACTTGAGTGAGGATGAAGACCCTGTGATAGGCCACTAGCTCAGGGAAACCAAATCGGCCTCCTCCTGTATGGATCCGTCTTCTGGTATATATGTACATGCTGTCAAGTGACAAATGACCTATGGCGACCCGAGCAAGGGGCTTTCCAGGCAAGTGGGAAGCAGAGGTTTTGGCATTACCCTTCTCTGCAGCGCCTTTTCTTGATGGTCTCCCAACCACTGACCCTGCCTAGCTTCCAAGATCTGACAAGATCAGGGTGTACCCCACTGCCTGCCCTTCCCCATCCAATAGTAAGTCCCAGGGGAAAAAAACTGATTTTTATAAAGTATTTGCATGGAATTGGTGGCCGAATTCTCCAGGGACATCTGTCAGTCTGCCATTCTCAAAAAACCCTCGAAGTAGATCACTATTAAAATATATGAACCCAATAAAACATCTATAAAAACAGTCCTGAAAACAGTACCTCAGTTTACAAAAAAAATCTCTTCTGAGTAGCTTTGTTTTCTGCAGAAGGACAGGAGTGGGGGGATTTCCTAGCTTCCTCTGGTAAGGTGTTTCACAAGGTAGAAGGCACAAAAAGGCCCAAGTAGGGGCTGTGACAAATCTTACTTGCCTGTGGGAAGGGATCGTCAAAAAGGACTGTTTAGATTAAAGGAGCCGACAGAGAGCATAATAGCAGAGGTGGTCCTGTAGGTAGGTTCATCTCAGGCCATGGGAAGATTTACAGGTAATAATCAGCACCTTGAATTGAACTCAGAAACTAACTGGCAACAAGTGAAGTGATTGCAAAACGAGTATAAAAAGATAATTCCACTGACTGCAGCATTTTGTACGAGCTGAAATTTCCAGATTGTCTTCAAGTATGGTCTTATGCAGAATGTGTTATAGTAGTCTAGTCTAAAGGTTGCTTGGTTATGGATCCATGCAGGGCTATTTTTGGGCAGGAACGTACAGGAACGTAGTTCGGGCTGGCTCCCAAGTTGGCCACGCCCAGCGGGAACTCGTTAGCATAATAGGCCACACCCAACAGCAGAAACTCATTAGGATTGGCTACATTAGGAGTGTGTGGCCTAACATGCAAAGGAGTTCCTGCTACAAAAACGGCCCTGGGTTTTGACAACAAACAAGGTTGTTGTCAGAATAACAAGCAAAAGGTGGGTGTGGCTGGATGTCGACACCTGGTAACATGGGGGTGCGGCCTAATGTGCTAATGATCTGTGCTGTCAGGGGTGTGTCCCAATATGTTAATGAGTTCCTGCTATTGGGTGTGGCCTATTATGCTAATGAGTTCCTGCTGGGCTTTTTCTACAAAAAGAGTCCTGGATCCATGTGGCCAGATTAGTTGGGTCAAGGGAGGGAGCCAGCCTCCATGCCAGATGAATACTGGATGTATAGATGTCTTCATCATGTTTCTTTTCCCCCACTGGGCAGTTGTAAAGGCTTATTTCCAGGATACGTTAAGTACAGAATGTGGTGGTTTATATGAGTTGAACCAATTCTGTGGGAATTTGGAAGTCTACACATATGATCTCTTTTGGCTTCCATTTACAGCTCTAGTGAGTGAACAGGGATCTAAGAGGTACTGATCCCAGCGCCTTTTCTAAAAGTTTATGCATTTCACAGATTTACTTAGTAATCCTTTAAACAACCTGTAAGGTAGGCCAGTACTATTATTACCAACTTGAGAGAGGAGTAGGTCATCCTAAGGCTGCCCAGTGAGCTCATGGTTGAAATGCGTACAAAACCAGGAATTGCCATATTTACAGAACATGCTCAAGCATTACACTAAACTTGCATTAGTATGGGTTTATTCAGTTTGTTCCCTAGTCCTGGTTTCTCAACTGTGCTCTGGAGGCAGTTAAAATGTGTAAAAGGCCACAGGTAGCAGAACTGGGAAAGACCCTTGCCTGGGACTCTGGGTAGCCATTGCCAGCGAAGATGGCAGTCAGCAATTTCAGTGGTCTGACAAGGCATCTTCATATGTTCATGTTTCCATCTGAACAGTGTACATCAGTCCTGGATTATAAAATGTTCATTATATGTTCATGAAAGAAATATTTTTTTTTGTTATTTTTCATGTGTGTGTGTATGCGCATGTGAGTGTGTGTGCACCTGGAAGTCATGGCGACCTCTGGTGACTGACCCCTGCTGGGGGCCTGGAGGATATTCAGAGTGGTGGCTGAATAAAGCCTGCCCCTATCTCCTGACTGCTGGTATTTCAAGGAGGTCTCCCATCCAAGTATTTGCTAGAGTCGACTCAGCTTAGCTTCCGGAATCTGACGAGATCGGGCTTGCCTGGACTATTCAGATCAGGGCGAAAGAAATCTTAGTAGTCAAACAAGTTACCTCAAATTCACTAAGTGGCCCATGTGGTATTTTCTTAACAGTTGCAGAAAGGTTTTCCGCACGTGAAGTTATTTTCTACCATGAAAGCCAGAAGGATAAATGTTGAAGAAAAGCAATGTTAGGGAACAATGCTACAGTTCTGCTGGCTTTTTCTACTGTTAACAGAGGCCACAAGCTTCAATAGTACAGGTAAGATACTGTAGTATGCTACTTAGCACAGTTCAAATGCTTGTTGTCTGGGATGGTACGGTCCTTTCATAGCATTGTACTACCTGATTTTCCACATGGGTGAATATATATTTTTTTAAAGATTAACCTTGAAAGCTTGATAAATGGCCCTCTCTGTCCTGGGATGTCTTGATGTAAGGCCTGATTCTCACAAGGGAAGGTCTTCAAATAAGCATCTCCCCAGTTGAATGAATTCCCATTATATCTTTTCAATGGTAGCAGCATAGACTTTTTTGTTTTCCTGACTATTCCTATCCCCCAGTCTCTAATTCCATCCTACACTTGAATCTCTGTACAAAGCCATTGTCCGATCCCCACAACTTGCAATTAATACACGTTTGTAGCAAAGTAGTATTTTATTGAAGCCATGATGGAACAGGAACATGTTCACTGTTTAGAATAACTTGGAAGGGTCAAAGCAGCGGGTAGTAAAGCAAATTCAAAACCGACAGTAACCAATGGACTTGGTTCCCACTCGCGCGGGTAGATTCTCAGATTCGCACGCTTAGTCTGAGACGCGACGGTTTCCTAAAAGATAAACAATTAGTTCTTCTCACACTCTAACTCATTATAGACTAAGCGAAGCCATCTCCTCTCCACACCTGTGACCTTGCAGATAAGCATGTTTCAAAGCAGAACTAGCGTTCATAGAAAGGAATGCATAAGATAAGCAAACGTGCGATTAATATACCAGCAAGCATGCGCATTTGGGTATCACTAAGGAGGGGGGGGGGAACCCTAAACAGGGACGGTGTTACATCACACAGAGTTCTTTGGCAGCTTGCTGACAGCCATCTGTAAACAGCCAGGATAATATTTCAGCAGTGTCTGTAGAACAGCCATGGGACAGTTAGACCTTGATTCCTTCTCAATTTCAAGTTACAGTTGTTTTGCAAGAAACAATTAAGTTTATTTATGACAACTGGGCTGTGTTCTTCTTGAATTGCACTGACAGACTTATCTTTTCAGGATGTCTTCCCAAGCATGCTGTCGTGAGGTACCGGGCCATAAGTGACCAGATGTTTGTCTTACCATGTGATCTGCTTCCTGAGGACCCTGACTCAATATTTAATCATTCTTGCCATTATGGCAGTCGGGTACAGTGGTTCTGGCAACCAAATGATGGCAAAACCCAAAAACTTCCCAACCATAAAACAGGAAATCCTACTTATTGCGGAGATGTTCTTTGGTTTAATCCAATAAGGGTTCAGGATTCAGGAAAATATATCTGCACGAATAGGTTTGTTACTGGGATAGACGTACCTTCTGTAATATTTTAAAAATCCCATCAATTTATTTGTCTCTTCCTTACAGTCACTATTACTTATTTTCTTTAGGACACTTCTTTATTTAGCAAAAGCTTTTAAGCCATGTTGATATCAGTGGAGAAATTAAAGCACACGCTTAACTTAATTTTGGTTGGTTTGTGCCCTTATTTTTTTGAAATGTGTATTCAGCCATTTTGTTACCAAGGGACTCTCAACTTCACCTTGCTAACTGCCGTTCTGCAACCTAAGTGGAACACACTCTAAATTAGGTTATAGTCTTCTTTTTACCCAATACAGTTTTACAGGTGATTGCAGCTGAATTTCCTTTCTGTGTCATGCAGGGAAAAAAACCACTGTGTCAACATTTTCGTAGATGTTCAAACAAAAGAGATGGCTAATTGTTCAAAAGACTTCAGGAGTCGCCTGCACTTGATTGTTGAAACTGGAGAGTCTGTTGTTTGTCCTGGGAAAAGCTGTTACAGTCATTTTCATACCTCAGCAGTTAAATGGTACAAGGTAAGCATCACTGTCTTTGGAGTAGGCAGAAGCAGAATTGGAGTTATTTATTTTTTTACAGGTGCAATTAAAAATATTTGTTTGGGAGAAAAGGCATGCCTTTTTGAAATATAATGAGTTCGAACATATTCTCAAAAGTTTTGAATATGACTCTCTGGGCTTTTATAATGTTACCATGTGTGTTTGTATTTGCATTATTGTTTGTACTGTGCCTATGAAGTATGGATCAAATGTCTATGTACCTCTGCATTGGGGGAGTCAGGGATTGTTGTTGTTTGTGTAGCTTTGCCTTGCATCTCATGCTTGCCTATGAATAGACAAGACCTGTGCTGCCTGCTGCTTCTACAGACCATGTGCTTCCCTGGAATTTCCCCCATAATGCCTCGGGACAGAGGAGACCCAGCGCCATTACACCTAACTTGGACCCTTGGAGAACGACAGCCTTCCCACCATTGTTGATCTGTAGGAACCCATGCACCTCGCTCTGCTATCTGGTTTGGGCATCAAAAGACAATACTGTTTATTGCTCTGAGGACCAGGCTCATCTCTACTCCAAAGGTTGCCAATGGAAACGGAGGTCCACACCTCACCACATGGCCCTGCTTTGATGTAGGATAGAATATCCTCATATTGCCCACTGCCCCTCATTAGGACGTCACCCCTTAGTGGACCTATAGCCTTAGAATAGAGGACGGACCCCAGGGTTTATGGCAGGTAAGGCCATGCCCAGAACAGAGCTGTTAAAAAGAGAAACGCGGCTTTGTCTCGCTCTCTCTCTCTCCCTCAAGCCTCTGCTTCTTCCCCTTAGTGCGCACTAAGGTGCTTCAGGTGACTCTCTAAGTTCCCCGGAGTCGCGACCAGGGAATGCGCACGTGGCTTGGCTGGACCAGCCTTTGTGTGTTCAGAGTTCACCAGTTGATACGTTAGGTGCCCTTCTTTCCTAAGAGGAGATTTCTTCTCAGCGGACCACAGATAAGTATTAACCGCCTACCTGTGAAGTCATTCCCCTTATTTGATGCTTTTGTTATTTTTCATGCTTTAATTGTTTCTATATGCTATTGTAACTAAGGAGCTTGTGTGAATCCTGTATGCATCTGTTTTTGTATGTCTGAAGAAACTGCTTTAGTAAAAAGGCAACATTTATTCATAAACTTAGTGTGTTGTCTGACTTCCTTGGGAAATAGCGAGCTTTCAGACGCCAATCCAACCTCTGGATACACGGGTTAGAACTCACGCACCGCCCGCTTCTGTAAACAGGGTTGTTCTGGGCTCTCGGAACCGTCTTTGGACCGGTTCGGGTAACAATTAGTATCTTTGTAAATCTTTGTGTGCGCACAAATAATAAATAAATTTATTATTATTCAGGATAGAAATACTTGGAGTCCTAAGTATAAATGTCAGCTGTCAAACCCCTTTGCCACTCTGGACTGCCTCTTTATTCTCTCTTACTTTCCTTCCATGTATATATAGTGTGTAAACCAACTTGTGTGTGCATGTGTATGCACACACGCAAAGAGTTGTCTTAAGTGTTGTATCCAGAGCTTGGTACAGTACACGTGCAGCCCCATGGTGGGGCAAATAGCCCCCCCCCCTGGTTGCTTCAGGCCCCAGCACACTTGGGAACATAGTTCCCCAATGTCACATATGTTTGAAAGTCAATTTGGGGGAGCTTACTTATGTCACATATATCATCTAGCTTGGCTCTTAGCACTGTCCTTTGATATAATGTGTTGAGTAAGCTAGAGCTGTTTTTGTCATGAATTTTCCTGCCTGCCATCCATATCAGTGATGATCTTCAAAAGGAGTGCCAGGAAACTCATGATTGGATGGCCCTGACTCACAAGCTGAATGGTATGAAATGGTAGGGCCGCGGGAGCTTGCCACTGTGATGCTGGTCCTCAGGGCCTTTTTTGTAGAAAAAGCCCAGCAGGAACACATTAGCACAATAGGCCACACCCAACAACAGCTCATTAGCATATCCAGCCACACCCATGAGAGCATAGCTTGTTAGCATATTAGGCTGCACCCCCCATGTTACCAGAAGTGTTGACCAGAAGCCACACCCATCTTTTGCCTCTTATTCTGTTTACCTTGTTTGTTGTCAAAACCCAGGGCTTTTTTTGTAGCAGGAACTCCTTTGCATGTTAGGCCACACACCCCTAATGTAGCCAATCCTAATGAGTTTCTGCTATTGGGTGTGGCCTATTATGCTAATGAGTTCCTGTTGGGCGTGGTCAACTTGAGAGCCAGCCGGGACTCCATTCCTGTGCATTCATGCCCAAAAATAGCCCTGGGCAAGCCCCACCTGCCTCACAGGGTGTCTGTTGTGGGGAGGGGAAGAGAAGAAGCTTATAAACTGCTCTGAGATTTCGAGTAAAGGGGGAAAGAGATGGAAGCAAGAGGAGGCGAGATGTTCTTTTTCGAGCTTCTCTTGTTCTGATCCTAGTAGATAAGCTGTTTTGGGAACTGGGAAATAGAGTAAAAGGAGAGGACCTATAAGAGATTTAGCTGCCGTCAGTGGCCAATTGCTGTTTTAATGTATATATACATTTCCCACTTCATTAGAATGGAAAACGAGTAACGCCTCAAAGGAACAGACTGGGCTTGAAGTTGCAGCATGATAAGATTTTATTAGAACCAGCCTATGACCGAGATAGCGGTAATTACACATGTGATTATATGCTGATGGATAATAATACATGGTGGAATATGAGAACGATGGTCAGGGTGGGTGTCACATGTAAGTAATTAATAGTTCTGCGCCATAAATGTCATGCTTTCTATTCTGGCACTGAACTGTACAATATTATATTCTGTTTCTGCCTCATATGATTTCTGTTTTGTCTTTCACTTCCAATTTTCTCTTGTATTATGTGTGTTTGTTTTAACTGGACATGTTCAGAGTGGGTTGTTCTTCTGTTGTACTGCCTCAAACACTTGTCAACCCTCTTTTTACATACATTTATTTGGAGGTAATTCTAAGGTCAGTAAGCTCAGGATTTGTTCTAAGAGACTGGCCTATATCCATTTATGCTAAGGTATAAAAACCTCCAGTCACAAGTTCTTTCAGAGCTGTTCTCTCATGTGCAGTTCTCTAGAGAGCTCTCCTACCCCCACCTACCTCACAGGGTGTTTGTTGTGGGGAGGGGAAGGGAAAGGAGATTGTAAGCTTCTCTGAGACTCCTTCAGGTAGTGAAGGGCGGGGTACAAATCCAATCTCCTCCTCTTCTTTTATTCTCCCCAATCTGTGTATTTCACAGTATGTGAAGGGGAACTTCATCCAGTCTAAAGTATTAGGATGCAACCTACTCTAGTTGCAAATGATCATCTAAGAAGGGTCTGCCTCTCACCCTATGTAGATGTCATGTTCAGCTGCCATCAGGAGTTGTGTAAGGATGCTTACAGTCTTTGTTTAAAGGACAAAGCATGCATACTTGCACAAAAATAGTTGTTGTGGCATAAATCACAGCAAAGGAATGCACTATAATTGGAGCTCAATTATACATTATAGCTTCTTTGGTATTTTAACTTTTTCTCCTTTTTATACCCCCACCCCTGCTTTTACTCCCTCTGGGGGAAAATATAAGCAATTTAACTTTTCTCCAGTAGGGTTAAAAGCAGCTTGTGAATGGAAGTAAGGAAATATTCTGAACAATACCTTTTTGGAAAAGTACTTTGGAATAAATGCCGACCAATGTAGGACTTATTTAAGTCATATCTTAGTGCTGGATCACATGACCTTGAATGAGGATGTAGTTATCTCTCTGTGGAAGAACAGGCCTGCTCTGGCCTGCAGGCCCTATTCCACCCTGCCTTCCAAGGTTTTTCCCAACACCTGGAGAGGCTTTTCCCAACACCTGGAGAGGCAGTACAAAAGATAACTTCCTCCTTGCTCCCTTAAGTTTCATCACTTCTCTTTTCCACACCCACTGACCAGGTCAGCCCAGGTCAGAGAAGCGTTTCCTGCAGCTTCTTCCTGGAGATTATTCCTGGAGCCTCTCTAGTCTAAAGTCCTCCAAACTTCTGTTTCCTGCTTTTGAAGGGGGAGAGCTAGGTCTTATTAGCGTTTGTATGAAAGTGAGCTGGAAAGCAATTGGACTGACTTCCTCCCTTCCAGCCTGTTCTCTGCCGGGGGGGGGGGGGGAACAGGATGACGGACTTTTAAAACTCAGAGTGCAGGTTTTGCTCATTTCAAACTTCCAAAGAAAAAATGCATTTCTTCACACCCTCACAACCAGAAGGTTAATGTTGACTGCTCTGTGTACAGTCATTCTAGGAACAGTTTGCCCTTCCAAAGCACTCAGAAGGGGTTGGCTTGGTATAGGGCTCATTACTAGCAGGCTATGCCCCTGCAATCCCTGTGCCTATGACTTCTGGACAGATTTTCACTCGGCAGAGTGTGGTGCTAAAGCAGGCCATAGTTTATGCATGCTGAGGACATTGATGACCAATGGGAACTCCCTAACATATTTTATAGTTTCACATCCTTCTCATTTTGCAGCAAAAGACTCTGACGGCCCCCCAATAGTCCTGGATCCTGCCTATGAGAAGGACCTTGAAGTAGACCTTGGTAAGCTGGTGAATTACATTTTTAACCTTGTTGTGTGGTCTATAAAGAGGGAAACTTCTTGTTTTATTATGGTTGGCATCCTACATTAGGCTGGAGAAAGCTCCTCCAGTCCAAGGAGACTTCCTCCAACTCAAGTAGCCTGCCATAGGAGGAGCGGAGCCACTTAAGTTGGAGGAAGCCTTTAACATTTACCAAGTAGAGTGGGTAGGAATACAGGTCTGTGTGTTTATTGGTTTAACGGTAAAGCATGTATAAGTTCAGCACTGTGACCAGAAATGTTTCCTTGGCCCCCTTTGCACTTTTAAAGCCTCTCCATGGCTCAGCTGTTCAATTTCACACTTTTCTGGTTCTGCTCAAGGGTATGTAGCTTCCTTTTTCTCTAAAGGGATATCTTATATGTAACTTAGGAGCTTTCCAAGCTGTAGTTAACACACAGAAAGGTGATATTGTGACCTGATGGTGTAGCCTTAAGCGATCCCTTGCAGGCAGAATGTTGTGTTCAAAGATAACGACTTTGTATGTTCAGTTCCCAGTCATCAAGTGGTGAGTCTCTCTCTCTCTCTCTCTCTCTCTCTCTCTCTCTCTCTCTCTCTCTCTCTCTCACAGTCACACTCTCACTCACATCTGAAATGGCTAAAAAAATCTTTCTAATTCAGCATGTGTGTGTGAGTGTGGGAAACATCTTTGTTGATTTTGGCGTGTGTTTTCTTGTTTCTCCAGGTCAACCTCTTGAGCTTAAATGCCAAGTAAAATTTGGCTTTCATAGCAATGCCTCATCTTTAATACAGTGGTACAGACAAAAGAAACTGGTTTACGAAAACAGGTATGGTCATTATCTAACTTGAAAACAATCAGATCAATGTCTTCATAGTGTTCGGAACTGAAAAGAGAAGAGTCTATTAAAAATTGTATTCTTAACAAGTGCTGTCTAGTTACCCCAATAAAAACGCTGGTGTAAGCAGGCTAGTGAAGTCTCTTCCTCATTCATTTTCTAGGATACAGGCAGATTTTATCTGTTTCCAGCTCAGTCCGAGTAGTTCTTTTTCCAGTTGAGAAACCTTATCTCTGCTGTTAGGAGGTGTTTTTCCCCCTGATTTTTTTTTTAAAAAAGCAAGGACATTGCACAGGAAAGCATAAAGAAATCCGGCCTCTGGCTGGAAACAGGCCACAGGGAAGGTAGTGTGACAGAACCTTTTACCTGAGGTGTATGCCAAGCACTAGAAAAACTAAAACAAACACCGCCCCCAATCCCGTCAGCTCTTTTTGACAAGAGATAGTAGTGGGTCAGAAAAAACAAAATGTACGCACTATCATGCGCATACCACTTTCATTTCTCTTTGGGAAGAAAACCCCATAGCAATAGCTCTAGCTTTTATTTACACAGGAAAGATGCAATGAAATGTACACTTTTCCCAGCATGATCCGGGAGATATCCCACATTGCCTGCTCAGACATAATTCACTCATTCAATTGTTAGATTATGAAATTAACCTCCTCATTACAATCAGGTCGGTATTGCAGATGCTGACCTTTCCATTGTCTTATTTCTGCTTTTGCTTCATCCTAAACTATACAGCAGTTCCACAACTGAAACACCAGCCATCTTACGTTGCTCTAAAAAGTGGTGACACTCTGTCTCCAGACCTAGAAACAATAGATTTAAATTTTACCTGACAAACTTCATTTTCAATATATTCTTTTATTTTTATTATTGAGGGTGTTGAGGACTGCCTAGTCTTCTAGTCCTCAATAAGGCCAGTGCCTGGACTCAGGGTACACCTGGCATTCACTTGGCCTATTATAAGCAGATTATGGGAGGGTCTGTGGTTCAGTGGTAGAGCATCTGCTTCGCATGCAGAAGGTTCCAGGTTCAGCCCCTGGCATCTCCAGGTGAAAGGACCAGGTAGTAGGTGATGTGAAAGACCTCAGCCTGAGACCTTGGAGAGCTGTTCCCAGTCTGCTTAGACAGCAGTGTTCCCTCTAAGCTGAGTTAGTGTGAGCTAGCTCATAGTTTTTTAGCTTCCAGCTCACACATTTTTGCCTTAGCTCAGGAAGGGATGGCTCCAGAGCAAGCTAATTTATGCAGTAGCCAAGTCACTCGCTCACAGCTTTAATGCCGGTAGCTCACAAAGTAGAATTTCTGCTCGCAAGACTCCACAGCTTAGAGGGAACTTTGTTCCACAGTACTGAAATTGATGGACCAAGGGTCTGATCCATTATAAGGCAGCTTTATGTGTGTTCATGTATAGTCCTGAAGGAACCACACAGTAGGACTGATGAAAACAACTAAGAAATAGGTTTATTACACTGGTAGGCCTGGCTTGGTCCTTTCTTTGTTTTCCTTTCTCCAGACCTGTCAGGATTACTGCGGGGGCCTGAGAAAGCGTAACATGTACCAAGCAGGTTCCTTGTTTGATTTAGTTGTCTAAAACATTTTTATGCCACCTTTCCACCCAGTCAGGGTAAAAAACATTAGCACATTTGAACAACTAAAATACATCTAAAATCACAAATGATTCAATCATAATTATAAAGGGGTCATTTTGTAGAAAAAGAGGTGCAGGAGCTCATTAGCATAACTCATTAGCATATGCCACACCCCATGACATCACCGGAAGTGTGTCAGAAGGCAACACCCACTGTTCAGGCTCCACTGGACTCTTTTGGATTGCTAGCTATC